CAGTACCTGCCCTAAAATTACCACCCCCACCCTGAGAGGTTAGGTGAATGCTGGCATTTACTCATCACTGCTGTCCATCTGTGATGGCTGCTTTAGGACATTAACTTTCTGATATTTTTGATGCCTTGTAATTAAAGCCCATTGGAATGTGTGAGAGTGGTAAGGGTCAAAGAGAGAATGGATGGACCATACCCATGTCTGTTATACTTAGGGACAGGGATATAAACACTTATCCTGCCATGGTAGAGCTTATAGTCTAGTGGGAAATGGTATATTCAATACGTGCCGTGTTCCCAGCATATGGCTTCAGATAATGATAATTACTTTCATTAATTTTCATTTTCAATACTTACATCTTGATGAATCTGCCATTCATTTGAACAGTTTCTCAATGAACAAAACCCAAGTCCAGAGCACAAACCCAGCCACGATATGAAAGAAGATCAAACCCTAGCTGCACTGTCAGACAACAGAGGTACACCCAGCTACCAAAACGCTTTCCGCTGTTCACACAGGAACAGTCTGGAGGTTAGGGGAGCTCTAGGCAGGCATCTTGGCTTTTGCTCCCTGTAGAAATGCTCATCTGGGGCATAACAAAGAACTCTTTTAATGAATCTCAGGGAGTCAATACAACTCAAAATTCTGTGGTCATCAAATAAAACAAGGCAAATAAAACCCACATCCAGCAGCCAGGAGCTGAGCTACATCCTGATTTTGGATACACTGGGTTTATGGTTGAGGGAAGTTTAGTTGGCAGTTGGCAACTGGTATCAGCGGGGCCCTGTATTGTAAGATCTGTCTTCATATGTCTTCTTGGTTACTGAGCTGCTGGTCACCTTCTCAGACCATAAATTATTCACTTGGGCCTGTGTTTTATAAACTGCACAGCCTAGTTCAGTCAGAGCACAGATATGAGGGATCTCAATTCCTGCTAACTGCATGGAGACTCAGGATCCTGGGGCATCTGAAGGCATGTGTGATCTGGGCTAAGCCAAGGGATGCCCTTGTCCCTAGGGGAAACTATCATGTTCTGTAATCTCTGAGTTGGATAAGCAGATCATTGCACAGGATTTGAACCCAGGAGCATAAAGATTTATGGATAGTGTTTGCGTGTGTGTTTGTGTGTTTGTGTGTGTGTGTAAAATTCAATGGGAAAAGTTTTTTTTTATCTATTTCACCAGTCTATGATTAATATTCAATATTTCCTTTGGTTATAAGTAAAAGTTATAAATAGTAATACTATTAGCAGTAGCTGTGATTTTACCACCAGTGGAAATCATCGATATTTTCTTCTCACAACAGCCTATGCAAGTCTTGCAGTGCAACACTGATTTTTTTTTTACAACTTTACAACCATAGCCAACATATATATATTTCAATAAAGAAGTATATTCATTGCTGAATCTCAAACTAGTAAAAACACTTTGTTAGGCGAATTTTTGTTTTCTTTGTAGACATAAATTTTATTTTTGATTTCATCAACATTATTCTGACTAGATGTCCATAGTTTCATCAAACAGGCTTTAGTGGGCCATATTCAGCTGTTTTAAGTGAAAGAGAACAGAATAAATTATGATGTGTTAGCTGTTATCCCCTCATTACTGAGGCAAAAATACCTGAGATAATCTAGTATTTTGAGATAAGGTATCAATATGTAGCCCAGGATGGCTTCAGACTTGCAATGATTATCTCACCGTAGTCTCCCAAATGCTGGGACCACATGTCTAAGCCTGGCTTTCCTATGGCTCCTTTTTTTTTTTTTTTTAACCACAGGGTTTCCCTATATACCCCGGGCTGGGCTCAAATTTTCTTTGGAGACCAGCGCGGCCCAGCGC